ACTCTTTCTGCATGTCAGTTCCATGCACAGTAGAACCAAAGCTGATCTTCTGCTTTATGAACTTTCCACTGCCCTCAGGATTCCCTCTTTTTGCATGTAGCTGAATTCACTCACTTGTTAAAGGCAGTTTCAAATATATGTAGCAAGTTAGATTTTCTTTTAATAGCATTTTATGGAAATTGATTTCTTTTTTCCTAAATTTTGTTTATGTCTTGGAACTAAAATGAGTCTCCAATTTTGCTTATTTTGCTACAGAGGACTCACACCAGGGGCTTATGTGTTACACTCCCTTTTTCAACGGCATATTTCAGAGTGCTTGGTTTTGCAGATCATCGGCAATTGGATTTGTGGAAACCTAACTTTCATTTTGCCAGCTGATCATAGATAAGAATAATTTCACAAATAATGGTGAAATTTCTAATTTATTCTCAAGAGATGTTATTTCATCACTTCTTGTAATTTCCTGAAATTTAGCAGAATGCCTAGGGTCAAAGAAGATATGTGATGATTTCATAAGAAAAATAGACAAAATTTCCCTTTTGGTGAAAAAGATCTCTGTTACGTTACTGAAGAATGACAAGTGGATTTGCAGAATGTTATAATTTCAGGAAAAGAAGATTTCTTTCTTTGAGCAAGAGTTAAAATATTTTACTTCAAAACCGCTTACGTGTTACTTCTGTCATTGAAACAAGAAAAATATAATTTTCCAGTTTAAATTCTTTGTTTTCAAAAGAAAAAAATATATCTTTAGAGCTTTTAAAACTAGATCCTTAAGAGTGTCACTGCATGTTAATGATAAATTGGCAAATATTGCTGTGGGGCCTATAATGATTGAGGAAAATTGTGATAGGAAAAACCAGCTGTATTTTATTTTAGGAATTTTAATTTGCTGCTGTCTTTTTCATTTTGTTTCTCCATATAAAGCACCGTTTCCTGTTTTTCATTCATTTTTCTTGATTTTAATTTCTTTTTAAATTTTGACGGAGTCTTTTCATTCATGTTGTTTGTTGGGAGTAAAAATGGAGAGTTTGAATACAAAAATCAGAAGCCAGCAGATTTATAGATGACAGTACAGTTATGCCTTATTGCATTCCCTCTTCCTTTCATCCCCTTCCTTCCAGATTTCCTACAAAATGCCACAGCATATAGCTGGCAGGTCTCAGAGCATGAGCTACTACCATTACTGTTGTCAAGAAAGAAAATGCAAAGCTCAGAGACTCTGTACTGCAGAGACCCTGTACAAAGCCTCACTTTGCTATTAGCTTACAACTTAGAACTGAGGTTTAGAGTTTAAATCAGGTTTATATTCTACACTGAAATCTAATATTCCCACCTCAGTTCCATAAACTAAGTCCAGATTGTTTAATATATATACTGTACAGAAACTTCAATTTATGACTAGTAGGATTCTGAAATTTTAATCCTAGATAACTTTGTGTTGAAATTATGGGAAGTTTAAGACGAATGTCAGTCAAAATGAAAACTTTATAGCATTCAGTGGATAATGAATTACTATTGATTTATACAATGTTAAAGTGGAAGAGAATTAAACCTGTGTGTATGTAACAGATAACTATATTTTGTTTGAAAATCTATTTTTTTTAATTCTTTACGGTTGTCTTCCTCTCGTTTTTCTATTTCTTACTCTTCCATCTCAGCTTTGGCTTTTAACTTCTTTATTATTCCACATAGTAAAAATTGTGGTGTTAGAGTACCAGTTGGTTGAAACCAGCTGCTGCCCGAGTCATATAGTAAGAACTCATCCCTAACTGAGACTAATCATGTATTTGGTCCAAGAAGAGTGAATACTGAGATCGTTCTTGAAGTTGTATGTCATTACAATATGATACGGTGATGCCACTGGGTGGCTCTTTAACATTCCTTTAGATGTCTTTAAATTGTTTTGAGCGTACTGGGAATATGCTCAAGTGGTAAACAGAAGGTCTGCTAGCCCATGGTTGTTGATTAGTAATTTGGTATATCATGCTAGAACAAATGCAGAACCAGTATCTCCACCCAAAATAAGCAGGTTGTCTTTGCATTCCTTTTTTATTTAAATGAAAGATTCAGTTTGTCTTGAATATCTTTGAAATAGTAAATTCTATTCTGTGGAAGCATTGTGTTCCATTTACATTCATTTCTTCCACAAAGTTTGTTTCATTTGAATTGTGTAGATGATACAAGACTTATTAAGATTCTGCCGAAATACTTATTTATCTACTATTTTCCTCCTCTTAACAATTTTTGGTTTTTGTAAAATTGTAATTCAGAAACTAAAATTATATACTCTGTAATTTAACTAAATCAGATTTCATCTCTTTCTGTTAAAACTTCCATGAGCATAGCTTTAAACTTGGAATTGAGGACTGCTTGTGTATTTATTTTCTTTTTTTTTTTTTTAACTTAACAGGTGCAATGGATGTAGAAGAGAGGGATCGCCAAATGAAAATGAGCAAGTACAAACAGGTAGCAGGATCAGATTCCAGGCTGGAACAAGATTATCATTCTAAGGCAAGGGAGTTTTGTTTTGAAAAGCAACAAAATATGCTAAACTGAAATATCCAATATCATTTTAGAAAGTAATAGATGAGTGAAAGGTTGTTTCTTCAGTAAAAGTTTCTGTGTGTCTATAATAAAATTATTGGAAACATGCAGCAAAACCCTTAACACAGACTGTTCTTGATTATTAAAATTTAAGAAGGATATGTTAAAGCAAATAAAAGTGGCAGTGTAATTATCCGATGGAATGAACAAGAGGGCCATGATTTAAAAACTCAAAGAGAAGGAAAAAAAGAGGTCTATTGAGTGGCAGATGGAATGAGAGCTGTTGAAACCTGTTCGTGGCTTTCATGTAGTTGAACACAGGATTATCTTGAGCTATTGAAAACTGGAAGATGTTATGTTACTTATTTTAATAGTGGCAGTTTAGCTCTTGAGAAAGTATTTTATACATTAACAAAAGCTTCCACTCCAGCTGTGGCAATTTGCCAAAAATCTGAATCATTACATCGTAGTATAGCCTCAAATATACTATCCAAAATTTCCTGCTATCTGGAACAGGGTCATATCTTATACAGTGTGTTAATTAAAATAATCAAGATATTTTCAATTTAAACTTCTATTATACAAAAATAATTTAGTGTCCTCTAAAAGACTTCACTAATTGAGGTCAGATTGTAAGTGGAAAACACGAGACTTCTGACCTATAAAAGCTGGCTGAGGAAGAGAAGTCTGTTTTAGACTTTTATTTCCAGGATATAGTTCCTTTCTCCAAGGACTGGCAAAGTTACTGTAAATTGAGCCATTTAATATTCAAAGACAAAGAAATAATCAAATTTATTAAGTATTATTAGTTTTGCAGATAGTGTAGACTAGTATACTTGATATAATTTCTAGCATGTATGTTTCAATGTGGGAAAATAGAGGACGCCCATGACAAAATGGAAAACTCTATTAATGAAAGTAATTAAAATTGACAAAACAAAAAGAAAACCCTGAAAATGGCTTAAAATATTTAAAAACTCTGTAGATGTGCTGCATGATTATTTGGGTATTTTACAAATGTAGTTTTTACTGCAGAAGGCATAGGAATTTTTATTGACATGTGGGAGAGACTTGGTATACTGTCATGTTTAGATGCTTCTTTTATGTTGACGCTTATGGCAAAATTATTTTCATGTGTGTCTATATTGTTGGCTTTGAAAGGTGTTACCTTTTGGAGATGAGCATAATACTGTGCGCAGACATTCTCGTAAGTGTTATGATTGTATGTACCACAAAAAAATGACTTCATGTATTGTATGTATATCTAGACTTATTCTGCTAATTTTCCTGCTCCCTCAATGCTTGACAGAAGTTTGAGTCAGAATTAGGACTGGTATGGAGTAAAGAGAATAAATGAGCTCTCATGTGATGGAGCAGGATAGCATATAATTACCTAAAGAAACATTTCCTACCCTTGTTTTTCCATTTCACCTACATCATATTATTGGGCCTCACTCTACATCTTTTATCTTTTTTATTAAAATTTTACCTTCAGTTTTATTGGAATGTATTAAAGAGGAAAATGACAAATGGAATTATTTTATGAATATGGTGATTTATTTATTGCACACATCAAACAAATTGTCTCCAGAAATAAACAGTTAATTTACTCTTCTGCCAAAGTGTAGTTTCAGTATTTGAAAATGAGTTATTTATTCCATCAATGAACTTGTGGAACTAGACACTGAATATTCACATATACGTATTAGTTTGAAATGCATTCTCTAAATTGTGTAGTTTTAAAGCCATATGAGAACCATAACTCTCATAAGCCATATGAGAGCTCTGTCTTCACTTTTCTACTATCACTGCTTCAGTTCTCCTTAATTAAGTGCTTATATTATCTAGAGACAGAAAATGAGTAAGTACAATTTATCTGCCTGGTTTCTACAAAAATTCTTCTGGAATCATGAACTGAAACATGCACGTGGAATGCTGACTGAAATCTCATACTCTGTATACTATACAGTGACTTTGATTTTTTAAATGTATCAAGTGGCACAAGCAAGCAGTGAAGCGTGCCATGCCTGAGAAAAATGTCATTAAGTAAGCATTTAAGTGACATTCAGGAAAGCTAGCACATGGAATCTTCTTTTACCTTTCTCTTCTATTTCTTTCTTTAAATGGAAGTCAACAGCAACTGTATGTCCTTCACAACTACACTGAGTTAAGAAAATAATCCTTCATTGCTGAGAAAGCAAAAGCTAAACCAGTAGAAGTTATATTAAATATTAAAATAGGCATCCTGTATTATACCTTTCTAGTTTTGTTCTACCTCTGAAAGACAGTACTAGAGGCTTTAGAAGCACTTCCAAGGTGTGTAGTTACAAATTAAGAAGTTCGTGGGAAAAGTTTACTTCCAGACATCTATATTCTTAGAAGCTGCCGAAATATGAAATTGATTTTTCCTTATATTTTTCACATGAATGATAAAACCGTAGACTGTATTTTTATTATTCATATACATGCCTCAGTATTTTTTGAAAACCAGGTATTCTGCTTCCATAATATTTTGTATACATGAGTTTGGCAGGTAATATATCATGTAAAGGAGTTATTTCCTTAAATGCAGAAGTTGCTTAAATACGGTTTCATCACAGACATAAGGAAAGCAAGCAATATATTTGATTTTCATATAAACATATTTACAACTAAGGAAACGTGAGAGGAAAACCAATGTGGGTATTAAGGATTAAGTAAAAATATTTCTGATATTGGAACAACTATTTATTTCTGAATATTGAGTGCTAGTAGACTTGTATAGGATATATATATCCTATATATACGATAAATAGGATATATATATAAGTAGGATATATTTTTTATATATATAAAACATATATTTTTATAATATATATAGTTAAATATATATTTTTATATATAAAAAACTAGGATATATACTAAAGTCTGAATTGCAGTGCAGGTAGAAGCTGACATGCAGGAAAACCTGAGTTCTGGTAATACAGAAAAAAAGCACAGTAGCACAAGACTGTTCCACCAGAGTCAAAAATAGCCATTTAGCATAATGTGGCCCTGCAACACTAGCCTAATTTCTGTAATTCTCGTCGAGAGTCTTTCGAGAACTAGTTTATTGTTTTGCATAAAAACCAAGCTTCCCAAATCTTAGTGTTCAAGCAAGATTCAGGGTGAAGAGGGAAGGGCCAAGATGGGAGCCCGCAGAAGCTGAGCGAGCAGCATGCTAGATTCGCTTTGTTCACGTTTGGTTGAACTGGCTTTTAAAGTCAATTCCCAACCTGCCTCTCAAAACCTCTCTGAACCTCTCCGCCTTGCTGCTTGCTTGATGCTGCTGCTGTTAGCTCTCTTGGCAAACAAATTGATAGTGCTGTGCTTGGTCAGTAACTCCTTCTCCTGGCCATTCTCACCACTGCTCAGATTCAGGAATCCCTGCTGACAAACAAAGGATAAAAGGAACGAGGAATCGGGCCATTCCTCTCTCCTTGCCCTCATGACTGGAATGTGCCCAGTGGATCGACTCAGGAGAGTTGAAATGCTTTGTTGGTACTGAGAAAAAAGAGAGAAGATACTTCTTGTGCGTGGAGCCCTAGAAGTGTTTGCAATTGATGTGAAATCGATGTGGAATCAAGAGAGAACTCCATCAGCTGAGGCCATGTTAGCCACTACTAAAGGGTCTGAGTAACTAAAAGCATTGAATGCCAAGCTAAAAAAGGCTGGATTTATGTAGGAGTTAAAAGAGTGAAAAATGATTGTTTTCTTTGGGAACAAGGGTAAAACAGAGACTGGTAACTAGCTGACACACATTTAAACTGCAAAGTATCATGAGGCTCTTTTTATTTCTTTTATTAGGAGAAAATAATGACCTAAAAAAAGGGAGAGAAATCCAGTTGTATAATATAGCAAGTTGTAATAGTCAGTAGTGTAGTAATTAGGAACACAATGTATTAGAGCAACAAGGAACAAACTTGGGGTAAAAGAGGTAAAAGACCAGATAAAACCTGAAATTTTTGCAGAACTGATGACAAGATTATTTAGCCAAATGTAGAAAAGAATACACAAATAGAGAATGATACAGATCACCAAAGAGGATTTTTCAGCTCCGCCTTTAATAATTCATATTGATATAAGACTGAAACTTTCTACATCATCAGATGGTATGTGATGCTGCAGTTCCTGCTAATCACTAACTACAGGTCATGTTTTAGATATGAGCATAATGCTGTGTTTGGTGTAGGAGATTAGTAGTATTAGGCATGCTAGCATGCTGCTTTGCAATCTTCTAACCTGTTAGCAAGGCCAAAACAAATTAATCTGTGGAAAAGAGGAGTCAAGCATGCGCTCAGTTTATCCCAGTAGTGTAGGTGCAGCTGGAATTCCCTTGGAGCATGCAGACACTGAAAAGCTGCAGTTCTTCAAACTAAGACACTTTGATTCAGCAATGAATCGAGTACCACCTTATGGGTTACCTGTGTGACAGAATGTGCAAAAGGTAAGAGCTGTAACACTGGAGGTGGAAGAGGTTGATTTTGAATACATAGGAGCAGATCTCCTTAACTCTCAGTCTTGTTGCAATGTGCAAAAGTGTCCAAGAAGTGCCTTTTCCTCTGAAACGTGCAATAAGTAGTTGTGTGCTTGGTACAGCTACATGTGGTGTCCTTTGACCTGTGTTGTTGATTGTAACATTTGATTTAATGGTGTTTTGGGAACACCCTTGTCTCCTCCTTAGAAATCAAACCAGAGCAGTACACAGGGCAGCAAGGATTGCTGGCAGAAACACTTGTCACTTTTCTTCTTGAAACTCATGTGGAGGGGAAGTTGAACAAACATCCAAGCTAAAGGGATGATGAAACCTTTGATATTCTTACGATATATAAGCTGTTGTTGATTTATATTGGTTTCAAATTGGCAATTGTTTTTGAAAATTTAAGCTTAGTGTTTGGGAGTTCTGGGAAGATCATTATATGCTCAGTAATAATTTGATAATTTATAAT